CTCATCCAAGAAGAACTGGACTCTCTTTGTTTTGTCTTTGAAGAGGTTTGGCTTCTCATCCAAGAAGAACTGGACTCTCTTTGTTTTGTCTTTGAAGAGGTTTGGCTTCTCATCCAAGAAGCTTCTCCAGCTCAGAGCTGGAGAAGCTTCTTGGAGGAGAAGCGAAATGTCTTCAAAGAAAAATCAGAAAATCCTTTTGCCTCTTGAACAAAAGCACCTTTGGGACATGAGAAGAGTTAGAAAAGGACCTTGAATTTGCCTATGCACATCCAAGAAGCTTCTTCAGCTCTTGAAAAGCTGAAGAAAAAGTTTCTTCAGAAGCTGAATAACCTCCTTGGATGAGAAGCGAAACATCTTTAAAGAAAAAACAGAAAGTCCAGTAACCTCTTGAAAAAAGCACCTTTGAGAGGAGTTGGAAGTGAGTGTTTGTGTCTGTGGGTTGGTTGCACTATTGTACGCTTCTAGAGGTGCCAAGAAACATCTCCACTTTTTAGCCTCAGAAATACATGTATGTGTGAAAAGCACTCGGGAACTGTGTCACCTTTATCTTTTTTTTTCCCTTGACACCTTCCAACACCAACCCATGTCAGGCAGGTGAGCCTGCATTCAGATGCATGCTGATCTCAGGAAAAAGCAGTGGCGCACCAAACCGTCTTCCATTAAGCAGGCTTGACTTTTTTTAAAAAAAAAAATCCCTTACGTTCATGGTGCTATACAACCAAACTTCGCAAATATATTCCCTTCAGTGGGGATAAACAAAAAATCCAAGCTAAAGAAGTTTCTTGGATGAGCAGGGAAACGTCTTCAAAGGGGGAAAAAAAACCAGAAAATCTAGTTGCCTCTTGAAAGAGCACATTTGGCACAAAAAATCTGAAAACAATTGGCAACCTTTTGCTCCTGCTTCCCACCCATACACACCCCTGTTTCTGGTGGCCTAAAATTATTTGAAGTAAGGCATTTGGCATGCGCTGCAGTATCAGATAAAATTCACTTTGCCGCTGTGATTATGTTGTGCCGCTCTTATTTCCTAAGAATAAGCAAGATTTATTAGAAGAGGATAGCTAATCCCCAAAGAATGTTAAAACACCTTCCAGACTGACAAGATCTATCATCCCTTCCCATCCCAGTGAAGCTCTCACAGCAAGATTAACAAGATAAAATTTATCTTATGTACATTTGGGCTTTATTGGTAATGACTGCATTATCCATGCCTCCTCCACATGTGTGAAACTTTTAACTCAAGCACTGTCAGCCAGGCAAGTTAGAGCAGAATAAGAAACCAATTGTATCTGGGTCAGGATTACTTTTATTGTAATAGCTATAAAAAGACAATCGTGCAAGTCTGAATGAGCTTTCCTCTGCCCTCACTCTACCCTCATGTGAACAAGGAAGGGTCATGCTTGAAATGCTTTCTCAACTTTATTGGCCTCATTGACTTATTTGACTGTTGCCTTAGTTGACAGCTCTTCTGTCTGTCCTTGAAGGCCATTTCCTATGCCCTGTACAAGAATTCAGACTTGACAGAAGACCTTATTGATTGCTGTTTATATACTATTCTCAGAAATAAGGTGCTTTAGTTTGTTTGAAGTATTAGACTGATATTTAATGGTCATATTCCCAGCTCAATGTGTGAATCTAGCCAGAGAATAGTTCTCTAGTGCAGATAAATAATATAAAGCACATTGAGCCTTACTGATTCAGGCCGGGAGTACATGTACTAAAAGCTATTTTCCAACTTGGCTCAACCCATGATTTTATTGCTTGCCCAGCATGAATATAAAAACATTTGTCTTCTACTAAGCCACCATATTGTATTCTATATCTATGTTTAAAACTGCACACTTCAAACACATTTTTAAGGCTTTTGTTGCTGTGATAATAAGAGGATGCTTTTTGTTTGGTTTTAAGAGCCATCATAGACAATGTTAGAAATTGAGTTTCAAAACAAGGCTGACCATTTCCTGAAATGATTGTCTAAGCCTGCAATACAGGTAGTCCTGAACTTACAACCATCCATTGAATGACCATTCGAACTTACAATGGCAGTGAGAAAAGGGACTTATGACCAACAAGCGTTGAAGCATTCCCACATGATCAAGATTTGACAGCTGGCATGTTATTTATGACAGCTGCACTTGTCCTGAAGTCATTTGATTGCTATTTCTAACCTTCCCTGCTACCTTCCATCAAGCAAAGTCAGTGGGAAAGGGGGAAGCCAGATTCACTTAATGATCAGAGAATTCACTTAACAAATATAGCAAAATAAAAAAATATAGCAAAACAAAAAATAAAATGGGGCCAAACTCACTTAACAACTCCCTTGCTTGGCAATTGAAATTTTGAACTCAATTGTGGTTGTAGATCGAGAGCTACCTGTACATTCCTTTCTTGTTTACCCAGGTTTCAATAGCTGAGGCAGATCTGTTAACTGTTCCAGAGGAACAGCCACTCTTTGTGAGTATTAGCACTGACAGGAACTCCAAATATTTGAGGACTTTTGCTTTTAACTTTTTTATTAGTTTATTGAGGTATAAAATACAAAGGGGGAAAAAGCATAAAAGCATGAAAAAGTAAGAAGAGAGGTAGGGAAAAAGAAGGGATTCTTTTCTAAATATAGAAAAGAAAAAGGCACTGACATCCTACTCTTTTTATTTTTTTTTAGTTTTAAACAAACATAAAACAAACAAACATAAACACAGACAAAGTATAAAAACCCTTCTCCAATTACTTACAGTGTGTCAATTGGTTACAAAACTTTTGTGCTTCCTNATTGTAATAGATCACTGAACTCTGTAACGAGAAGATGTTGCTTAGCGACTAAACAATGAGGAAAGGCAACCTCCTTGATTGGAAAAAAATAATTCTCCTTTCCTCACATCTATCTACAATTCATTTTTATTTATTTTTATTATTATTATTTTTATTAATTTTTCTTTTTTGCACTTGCAGTGTGTGATCCTTGAGTGGGAGAGTGTTGATGTCCACAATTCAGGGAGAAAATAAAGTCTATGTCAGAGTTTGAAGCAGCAATCACATCCTGAAAGCACAAACAGGTAACTGATTCAGCAGGATTCATTAAGGTCTCTTTATATGTAATATAACACATGAAGTCAATATACAATACCAAAAAGCAGGTTTTCCAATGTGGTAGTATATACAAGCAAACACAGGCAGAGGAGAGAACAGTTTCAGTTTCAGTTCAGAGCAGCAGACTAGTTTAGAGCTCAGCAGAGACTCAGAGCTTTAGTACAGAACAACTGAGGGCTCCTTGCTGTCCTCTTGTGGCTCACACAGCAAATACCATTTCAGTTTCCACACAGCCCTCATTGGCTGACCCAGTTGCCATGTCTATTCATTGATTGACCTTATTACCATGTCTCTGCCAGTCATGAACTCTCATACACACTGACAGTCTAGCTTAAGGGGATTTGTTAATTCAATGCAATTTTGAAATCCTGCCACCACTTTGTATGGAGTGAGAATATACAGGGTGCCATTGTAGGTTTCTGCGCTAAGTCTTTTCAGTGTTCAGAAAAATGAAATCCCATTCCGATGTTACGCACAGGCTTGTTATAGCAAAATTTTATTGAAGATAAAGCTACCTCCAGAGACTGAATATCTCCATATGCAATGTACACATTGATTTCACCCTGGGTGACAGCAGAATAAATACCAATAGTAATAGCACTTAGACTTATATACTGATTTACAGCCCTCTCTAAGTGGTCTACATATTGCCCCCAACAATCTGGGTCCTCATTTTACCCACCTCAGAAGGATGGAAGGCTGAGTCAACCTTGAGTCTGTGAGATTTGAACTGCCAAACTGCAGCTAGCAATCAGCTGGAATAGCCTGCACTACTGGACTCTAACCAGTGCACCACCTTGGCTCTTATAAATTGTTATGATTTGTCTCCCAAATATCACTCTTGATAAATTTAGAGACATTAATGGTATCAATTGTATCCAAGCTATGCAAATATTACGCACTTGGATCTCAAATTTCAAAAGAAATTTTTGCTACTTTCATCATCTGAAATGGGACTACTCCAGTTCCATCCAAAATATCTCAGAAGTTGAACAATCTGTGTATTGAAGAACTTCATTGGAAACCATGTGATAAAAAGAAGGAAAACCAATTTTGTCTCTCAAAATGGGGTCAAAGGAGCCATAATTGGCCATAGGGAAAACGTTTTGTAGCAAATAAAAACACTTAATTTTGTATAAAGTTTTAAAAATAACTATTAATATTCCCTAACAAATTTATTGAATATTCTAGAAATGTTAGTATATTCTTGGGCAGGTAGGTGGACTTGGCAACATATTCCATGGTGCATCTTTGGAAGATCTGAAATATCATGTTAGAGAAATTTCCTTTTTAACTGAGTATTATGTAATATCCAGAGTCATTTTTTTGTGCAATGGACAGATTTTCAAATAGAATAAATAAATAAATGTCTTATCTATGTGTTCTTAAGAGTCAACACTGACTTGACACCACCCAATCTAAAAAGCAAATGAATGAATCAATCAGAGTATTTAATAAGGGAGTTGTAAAGAAAGTATGGAAAAAATTGACTTCTCAAATTTATGTTTTATCCTTCCAGCATATAAAGTGTAGCTTCTTAGTATTTTCTTTCCTTGACAGGGAATCATCATAGATATCAATACTTTTAATACTTTTAATAAAATGCAGATTTTACATACTTTGAAAAAGATTTTTATTTAATAAAAAAACATAACAATTTGCATTCAATAATTCTGAACTATTCAGCTAATGGGTGAGTCAGTCTCTTCAAATCTTTCAGGGACAGTAGTTGTCATCCACATTGGTAACCTTATATTTCCAATTTGAGCTACCAGTCCTAATTCTTTTTCCAGCAACATCAACCCTTATTTTTCCTTACCAATTGCTCCTTCTTATTTAATTCAGGCCGCATTATAATAATGTAGCATTTGGGAAGGAAAATACAACTCAGTAAACCAAAAGCAGAGGCCAATATGGAGAAAACCTCCACGGCTACCATGAATTTTCCTTTGGTGCTCAAGTACGCTGGGATGAAGGATATCCAAACACTGCAAAACACCAACATGCTGAAAGTGATGAACTTGGCTTCATTGAAACTGTCAGGCAGATTCCTGGCAAAGAAAGCCACGGTGAAGCTGACCACGGCCAGAAGGCCCATGTAGCCCAGCACAATGTAAAACATGATCTCTGAACCTTCATTGCATTGCACTACGATCTCACCCACTTGGGAATGCTTCTCTAATTCTGGGAAAGGGGGCTTCTTCACTATCCAAACAGCACAGATGACAATCTGAATCAAAGAACAAGGCACAATGACCAAGATTGCTACCCTCTTTCCCATCCATTTCCTCATCCTATTCCCTGGTTTTGCAGCCACAAAGGCCAGAACCACAGTGATTGTTTTGGCTAGTATACAGGAAACAGCTATGGAGAAGGTGATGCCAAACACAGCCTGCCTTAAAAGGCAAGTCCCCTTGCTAGGTCTTCCAATGAAGAAGAAGGAGCAGAGAAAACATAGGAGCAGAGAGGCGAGCAGGATACATGTGATGCTCCAGTTGTTGGCTTTCACAATAGGAGTGTTTGAATGCAACCTGAAGATTGCTATCACAATGAGCGTGGTGAGAGAAAGAAAAAGTGCCAAAGATGTCAGAGCTGCTCCCAGGCCTTCTTTATAGGACAGGTAAGTCATTACTTTGGGAATGCATTCCTGCTGGTTTGTGTTAGGATACAGATCTTCTAGGCATGGCTCACATTCATCTGCATCTGAAGATCACAATCATAAATTCAGTATTAGAAGTTTCTACTAATATATTTCATACTTTTCTTCTCTTTATACATTATCTGATGGAAAAAAAGTTTAGCACTAAACTCTACAAAAGTCATTGAAAACAATGGTCCCCAACTTTTCTGGCTTTGCAAATCAGTGGAAGCAGCAGTGGGGAAGGGAATGTGTCGGCTCATAAATAGAGCTTCACATGCTGACATAGAATGGAATGGAATGGAATAGAATACTTACAAATTATGTATTTATTCTTTATTAAGTATGTTTGGACACACAAGGAATTTGTCTTTGGTGCATATGCTCTCAGTGTACATAAAAGAAAAAAATGCATTCATCAAGAATCATAAGATACAATACTTAGTGATAGTCATAGTCATAGTCAAATCGTACTAGGAAATAAAGCAATATAAATTGTAAAGATACAAGCAACATTGTTATAAGTGGGAAGAGGTAAGTACTAGAAAGGATGAAAAGAATAATAGCAATACAATCTTATTAAAAAGTTTGACTGTGTGGGAATTACTTGTTTAGCAGAGTGAAGGCATTTGGGAAAAAACTGTCCTTGTGTCTAGTTGTTTTGGTGCGCAGGGCCCTATAACTTTGTTTTGAGGGCACAAGTTAAAACAATTTATGTGAGGGGTCTGTAGATATTTTCACAGCCCTCGTTTTGACTCGTGCAGTATGAAGGTCTTCGATGGAAGGCAGGTTGGTAACAATTGTTTTTTCTGCAGTTCTAATTGTCTGTTGAAGTCTGTGTCTGTCTTGTTTGGTTGCAGAGCCAAACCAAACAGTTATAGAAATGCAGATGACAGACTTGTATGCCACTTGTGTGGCCTGGTTCCAAATTGGCCTCAGCCAAAGGGTTGGGATAGCCTTTAGATACATTATTGAAGAACATAAATCATAATACAGTCACTAGACGTATGTAAGGGAGAACACACAAAATTCAAAAGCACTTAGTTGAAATTTTCTGGATGTTCTTCTAGACAGCTCTGATTTCCTTCCCTTACCCATTTGTGTTGAGATCCTACTTGAAGGACATTGAATACAATCATAACAACAGATTTGCTTCCCCTTCTGCATTTGTTTGCTTTGTCCAGGATAACAGCTCTCAACACAGGTAGATTTTGGCACCGTCTGTTAATATTATCAAAAGAAAAACAGTCTCTACAACAAGAAATAGCTTTCTCCTCTCACTTCTAATTCTGAATTAAATACGTTTGGAACAGATAGATTTTAAAAATAATCAATCAGGTTAACATCTTAGAAAGATTCCTAATTCCACAATAATCTGATATTAATAACTCTTTCTGCATTATTCATTTTTTCAATCTATTTTCCAAATCCAGCTCCCTTAACAAATCCCCTTGTCATTCTCCAGATTGTGTGTGTTAAATATAGCTCAGATGACCTTGATATCAAACACAGCAAAGAATAAGAGCTCCAACCTGATGAAACTTGGGATTCCATATAATAGCACTTGCATTAATAATGAATTCTTTTCCAAATCGAACATTAGGGTCGATTCTTCCAACTTGGACTCTCTGGAAGGATTCATTCGGGAATGTCACAAAATTGATCAGGTCATAGCCTGTTGCCAAGTCCCTATCTTCATTGAGAAATATTTCATCTCCAACGTTATTGTTAAAGTGGACATATCTCAAAAATGAATTAAGCTAGAGGGAAAGGAGAAAAGTAGTTACTACTCTAAAGGGTTCTAGGACAATTCAGCACAGTCACAACTCACTGCAGCCATCTTGCTGTTGGACAACTCTTCATGGGACAAGAGTTACAATTCATTCTCCAGAGACTCACTTCCCTCTTTTTTTTTTAATGATGTGGAGAAATAGTTTGCTTCAAACAAATTAAGCTATTGTCAGTTCATCAGTTTTTATTTCTATTTAAATCACAACTAACATACACTTTTCTAAAGCACTGCAGCTACAAGCAATCATACAATTTAGGCCCATGATGGCATGTAGAGCCATTTCTATTTTTTATTTCTATTTTTATTAAAAATTTAAAAAGATTTTACAAATATTTACAGAGCAAATACAAGTTATAAATCTTTAACAATCATATTCTAAAGCAAACTAACAGACCTTAGCATCATCTTTCACTTGTACTTAAATTCCCATTTTGTTCTTCTTCAATCATAAGCTATCTGGAGTTTCTTATATGCTGTCAAAACAGTGTAATGCAATCACGAAGCTGGATCTACTACAGAGAGCAGGTCTTCAGGCTACATGAGCACCGGAAGTCTCATACAGCCATTTCTGAGGGTGTGCAAGGTGTTACCCTGTCAGCACCAGTGCAGATGCATGTGCTGGCCAGCTGATTTTCAGCCTTGATTTTTGGCCATTTTTTGCCCTCCAGAGGCTTTCCTGAAACCTACTGAAGCCTCGGGAGGGAGAAAAATGGCCTAATGGGCAACCCAAAAGTCCATTCCCCAACTTCCGGTTTGCATTTTGGGCCATTTTTCTCCCTCCTAGAAAGCCTCTGGAGCCTGGGGGGGATGAAAAACAGACCTACTGAGCCCACTGGAAGTTGGAAAACGGGCTGGTTGTGGCCTCCAGAGGGCCTCCATGGGTGGAGAGGCCATTGTCACTCTCCCTTGGCTCTTAGAAAGCTGTACATGCAAGTGCGGGACAGGAGTTGTCTCCCACACATGTGCAAGGGGCACGGCACAGGGGGGCATCAAATTATGCAGGTGGGCTTGTGTGTGTGTGCAATAGTATGTACAAACATGCTTTTGGCATTCAAGGCAAAAAAGGTTCACCAACACTGATTTAGTCCCTTTCACTCATTTGAGAGCAGTAATCAATCCTTACATGTTTCTTCCTCTTCTCATAATGGAATTAAGTATCTGGTTGTTTCTGTTAAGTCAAAACCTCAGAACAAATTAAATTATCCATTCTTTCCTATGGTGCTAAATTTAGCATTGATTTCGATCTATTTTATTGGCACACCTGGATTCTCAATTCCCATTTCTCTTTAGATATTTTTATCAGCTATCTCCCTTCTCTCAACATTCTTCTAAAAGCATTCGCTTGCTTTTCTTTGCAGGTTCTGTTTACTAGATTTTCTCTATTGTTACATCATATGTGATTTTCTTATAGTTCTATTTTGATTCCTAAATTATTTTGGTTTCATGAATTGACCAATCTACTTGAGAGTACCTGCCACGGAGGAACTTTTTGGAGATTCCATTGGTCTTGCTTTCTCCCTCTCCTCTGCTTGTTCCTCCAGGCATACAAAGCATGGAGAGAATGTGCCACCAGATACACAGCATTGTAGATGCTGTAGCTCCTGCCAGACATGCCCATTTCAAAGACAGANGAGCAGCTAGTTAGGAAAAAGAATGGTGTGATTTCAAGAGCAAAATGAATGATGGCTGAATTCTATGATGCTATAAAAAGAACATGACAATAATCGGCCAAAGAATTGTCTGGGTGGTTTACTTTGTACGCATTCTTTCCATACTGCACCCAAAATCTGTGTCCTTTCATTCTTGGAAGGATAGAAGGCTGAGTCAACCTTGAGTGCCTTCAGGATTGAAGTCAAGGCTTTGGGCAAGAATTTAAAGGCAAATTTGCTCTTACTGTGCCCTCTGTTTTCTTAATGTAAGAAACTTCACATGTACACAATATCAAGGAGAAAAAAATGTACACAATTTTTTCTAGATGAAGACTTCTTTGTTCAGAAATAAATTGCTTGGGTTTTCCAAAACTGATCTTGTTTATTGTGTAAGATTTTATCTCATTTATATTTAGACTTAGACTTAAACTTAGAATAACTTTATTGTCACTTGAAATGTGCGCAAATCAGCATACATTAAAATGAAATTTCATTCCATACAGCTCTTAAGGGTCATCTCCTACAATATACACTACATAAACATGAGAAATAAGTAAGTAAATAAATAAATGAGCATATGCCCATATACCCAAATAGATTGTGTCACACAGAGAAATAATACAGTCTAGTTTGGATTTATAAATGTACATGGTGAGAAAAACAAATCTTGCGAGTTTACCGGACAGATGGCATAGGGAACATAGCTGTTACAGAACCAGCTAGTCCTGGTAGAAATACTTCAAAACCTCCTCCCAGAGGGGAGCAACAGAAACAGACCATAAAATGGGTGTGTGGGCTCTCTAACAATGCTTTAAGCACACAGCATTTATAAGCAGTATCCTGAATAACAGGAAGCGGCCTTCCTATAGCCTTCCTGGCTGTCCTTACCACTCTCTATATAGACTTTCTGACTGAGGCACTACCACCAAAGCAAACAGTGATGAAGAGATTGTTTGTTAAAATGATCTCAATTGTCCCTCTGGAAAAAGTGACGAGGACAGAAGGAGAAAGGTGTGCTCATCTGACACAGGAAATGCAGGTGCTGGTTTGCTTGCTTCTCTCAGGATGACATGTGGAGAGACCAATTCAGATTGTTAATTGTCTGCACCCCCAGATACTTAATGCTATTGATCACCTTTAGAGCTGCATTCTTGATACTGAGTGTACTATGACAATGCCGGCTCTTTTAAAAATCTACAATGATTTGTTTGTTTTATTAATATTTAGAATCTAGTTACTTTAATTACAATAAAATTCTGATATGGTTTATAGTCATGTATTTAGGGGGACACAATAACTCAGTGGTAAAACACATAGCTTATAGATCAGAAGGTCGATAATTCGATGGTTTGAATACCTAGCACTGCATGATGGAGTGAGTTCCCATTACTTGTCCCAGCTTCTGTCAACCTAGCAGTTCGAAAACACGTAAAAAGTGCAAGTATAAAAATAGGGACCACTTTGGTGGGAAGGTAACAGTGCTCTGAGCACCTCCATACGCCTTCATGAATCATGCCACATGACCACGGAGTCTTCAGACAACGCTGGTTCTTTGTCTTAGAAGCAGAGATGAGCACAGCCCCTAGAGCTGGAAACAACTAGCACACATATGTGGGGGGGGTCTTTATCTTTACCTATTTATTGGCACCCTCTTTCCAACACATTTTCTTTTTAATGCCGTGATTTAAATTTATGAGGATGGGGATCATATTCAAAAAGCTTGCAATATTTATGCAATTTTAGAATCATTTTCTTTGCCATCTTATCCCTTATTTTATTTATTTATTTGTTTATCAAATTTATAAACCCAGCCACCCCATATGGAAGGCAGTCCTCAGTAATACAGAACAAAAAATTAAAACCACAAATAAAAACAATAGATATGCAAATATATAAAAATCATATAAATGGTAAATATAAAAACAGAGCTACAAGTTCTAAGCAAAGAGGGAGGAAAAATAGCCATCCCAGCAATAGAGCCATCTAAACAAGTCTCCCATTCCCTGGGAGCCCCAGGTTTGATAATATAATCAGTTCTTGAGGGCCTTCAGGAATAAAACAGGATGGCTCATCTAATTTTAAGGACAAAGAATGTTCCATAAGCAGNATATACCTGTTAAGTAGCTTTCATATATATGTGGTCGCTATGAGTCAACATCAATTTGATGGCACATAGTCAGACCATCAATTAATCAGTGTATTTAATTTGGAATTTGTAAAGTCGATATGAGAGAAATTTGATTTCTCAAGTTTACCTTTTAATCTTGCATCTATCTAAGTATAGTTTCTTTCCAGAGTTAGAAATCACCTTAGATATAAAATGAAGAAGAAACTTTTATCTTTACCACTGAGACTTAACAGTTATTCTCATTTTCCTTCTACATACCTATTTCCAAAGACTTACCTGTGGTACTTTGTAAGGACTGAAGATGTTGGCCATGTGAATAGAATTTTCTAAGGTGAGTCCCCCAATGGTGGCCATGACTTTCTCTTCATGGTAATAATTGAATGGAGCCCCTTGTCTGAGAAACAGAAGATCCAAAGTAGTCCAAGTAGTTCTCCATGGATTGTAAGCATTGTCATAAATCTTGGACCCTAAAGTGTTGTTGGGCAACAGATCAGGATTCTTGTTGACTTCTTTAATGGCAAACACAAAGGCAAGGACATGCTGATAGTTTTTAGGGATTATACTGCCAAGAGAATTTTGAATGTTAGATTTTAAGGACTGATACAATTACGTGACTTGTAGATCATTGCTTGCCCATAGAGCTCAGGCAATAGTTTTTTTTCTCTATGTAATGGGAAACTCTTTCTGATATAAATGGTCCAGATATTCCCCTAAAGAAAAGTGAATAGGTTTCTTCTTTCTCTTCTGTCATTAATGCATATATATGTCTATACATCTTAGGTTTTTTAATTAATACTATTGTCTTTTGAACTTTATTAAATATCTCAGTTGTGCAATTGATCCAAGTCTCAGTGCCACAAAGAAACTAAGATCTTAAATCAGAGGTAATGGGGAACATAGGCAGACAGAAAGAGAGGATCTAATCTTCCAGGTACANATTATAATTTCATCTGAAGGACTTGAGGGATGTGTGGAAGATTTTCTCTGGTAAGGATCCTTCAGGTTCAGACATTTTCTGGAGGAATCATTGAACTTTACAAGCAGGAAGAGGATGAGAAGAAGAGCTGGGAGCTCCTGAGAAAAGCCCCATCCCAATTTTACCACCATGATAAACAAGCACCCACCATCTTCATCAAAAATTCATGAAAGTAAAGTGAATAATTGTGCTGTTGTCAAATGCAGATCACAAAGAGAGAGGCCAAAGACCTTTTATGCACTAAGTACAACTTGTCAGAGCTGAAGTGGCTTTGCAGCCATTGATATGCTGCTACCTCTCACAAATTTCTTCCATTAATCACTATCATTTTGACAGTTGCAGGGCACCAAATCCCTGTTGACAAAGATGTTGATCTCAGCACAAAGTTTGTATTGTATATCACCCAGAGTCACATTGTTTGAGTTAGGTGGAATGTATTTATTTATTTATTCCATATCTTTATAATTTCAGCAACCTAGTGATATGAGTTGGGCTGAGAGAGGGCAAGTTGCCCAAAGTCACCCAGCTGGCTTTAATGACTAAGTCTGGACTAGAAATCATGGTCTCTTGGTTTCTAACCTGATGCCTTAACCCTTAGACATGGGTGTCAAACTCACAGCATCACGTTATGACGTCATGTTATGTATTGTTATGTTTTCCCCTTTGCGGAGCTGGGGTGGGTGTGGCACATGCATGATGCCCACCAGCTGCCAATTTTACACTCCTGCATTAGACCATAGAAACTCTTATAAATTGAGCAAGTACCAGACATACCTGTGGTACTTTGTAAGGACTGAAGATGTTGGTCATGTGAATAGAATTTTCTAAAGTGTGTTCCCCAATGACTTCCTCTTTAGTGATACAGTAATAATTGAATGGAGCCCCTTGTCTGAGAAACAGAAGATCTAACGTGATCCAAGTAGTTCTCCATGAATTGTAAGCATTGTCATAAATCTTGGATCCTAAAGTGTTGTTGGGTAACAAATCAGGATTCTTTTTTTATTGAAAATTTTAAAGAAAGCTTTTACAAATATTTACCTCCCCTCCCCCACCCTCCCCTCCCCACCCGAACCCAACCCCCCCAACTTTCCCTCCCCC